TCCCCGATATTGGGAACCACTTCGTGACACTAAGCCGCGTGTAAAGTCTGATTATAAAAAAATTTTTACATAATCCGGGAGAGCATGCCTGTGCATTAAACGACCGCTCGAACGCAGATCGCTCGCAGATTCTTACTCTCTCAAACCGCATTTTCTATTACCGAACGAACAAAGTTTCAGCTCTAATTGCTGCAATTTCTCGATACATGTTACACGTTTCTTTAGGCCCATTGGATTATTAACGAATCTTCTCTTGAAAAAAAAAAACACACACAACAAGAGAAATCTTCGCAGTAATGGAAAATATGATTAAGAAGACAAGAAGACTTGCGAGCGTAACCTCGGCAATCGTTCATCAGACGTGGCGTTCCGCATCCGATTATGTAAAAATTAAAATTTTTTTTTTTGGTAACTTAGTAATATCTTATTAACAATTTATTTTAAACAAAGGTTATTCGAATAACAAGATAAGCTATTCATTTTTAAAATATTCTGTTTATGTTAGTAAGTATATAAAAAAGTCATCACCAATGTTTTACTTGCAAAAATAATATTGAAAATAATCAGATTCAGATGTTTGTTAAACAAATATATCTATTTATTTAGATACGTATGTATCTTCATAATGTTTCTGCATTTTAAAACCTGTTTTTTCAGCTAAATTTCTTGTATGGTTTATCTTTCCTCTTTTTTTTCGTATCGAAAAAAATTTAATGTTTTGAAATATGAACATATATATAAAAATCAATGATCTTAAAAGAATTATTCTATTATCTCTTCATTTTTACACAATCCTTTCTTGCTTGCAGTCTGTTTGTGAAGGAATTTTATTCTTAAAATCATATCGAAATCGGTATCGAGGTCGATGGACGATCTACTTGCTCGTTTAATTATCATATAAACTTATAATTATTGTATAAATATCACCGAAATCAGAGATTATTATTAAAAGTGATGCATATGCAAACGGAAGATAGTTCGAAGATGGAAAGATGGAAAGTTTCAGTAAATAATTTCCGAACACGTGCGTACATTATGCAAGCGAGTGTATAGCCAAGTTACATAATTTATACGTAACTAAGTACCTACTTAAAAAAGACTCCACGTGTATAATAAACTAATAAACTATAAATATAATAAACTTAAATCTTTTTTTCTACTTCGTAATTTACAATGAATTTGCATATTTCACATGTATTTTTATACATCGAATAATTGAAAAAAAATTTTTTTTAATGATTACAAAAAATGTAGATGAAATGTAGATAAATGTCAAAGAAAGATTGAAAAAATAAAAAATTAACATTTAAAAAACTGAAAGTAAATTACGTTTAAATTTTATTTAAATTAATTTAAATAAAAATTGATATCAAACAACATCGCGGAAGGAAACATGATGCTCTGACTTTGTTAATTAACCGTAAAAATTTATGATACAATATGATTTCTCTCTCTCTCTCT